CGAAAGCTACTCAGGCGGCTTCCTCTATTCCTCCTACTCATTGCCCGAACCCTTGGCCCACCAAGGCCGCACAGAAAATGAATGCTGGTTCTTTCCCTTCCCAGCAAGGGGGCCTATGGGGAGACAGAGAAGATGGTGCTTCTGTCTCAATGATTGAGGACAGGGAGGAAGGTGAATTTCTCTCAGACGACGAGCCTGAGGATTTAAAGATGCCTGAACAGGCATCTAGGTTATTTAAGGCTGAGGAATATCATTATTTCCTGACCAAAGCTATTAAGGCCCTAGAGATACAAGACGCTCCTGCTTCTGAAGAGCAGAGAGCAACTAAACCAAAACTTAAGTCTCGTTCCAAAGGGCTCTCAGAGTTTTTTCCTCCTGAGGAACCTACTGAACAGGGAGTTTTCCCTTTTCCAGAATTTTTTGAAAGACAACTAAGGTCGGCCTGGGATAGGCCTTCAGCTAATAGACAGTTTCCTGCATTTGTCAAAAAGTTATATGCCTTACCATCATATGCAAATGACCTCTTACAGATTCCTCCGGTCGATGGACCTGTAGCAGCTATACAATCTTCGGGATTGGTCTCTGAAGATGGTCATGGTTCTCTACGCGATCCCATTGATAAGAAGGTGGATGCCACGCTGAAGAGAATCTATGAGGCCATCTCAATGATAGTGAGAGCGGCGGCCACAGCCTCGATTGCATCTAGAGCATCGATCGTGTGGATCCGTAAACTTATTCAAATATTACCAGAGGGCAGTAGAGGACCTTTAGAGGGCGCATCTCGCATCCTAAAGGGTTCATCGTTTTCAGCAGATGCCACCTTGGACATTTTGACTTTTGCATCAAGAGCCTTGGCATCTACAAATGTGGCCAGACGTCTTCTTTGGCTAAGATCCTGGCAGGCGGACTTTCAATCAAAACTGATGGTGTCAGCGTACCCCTTCCAGGGCGATCTCTTGTTTGGTGATGCCTTAGACAGAATCCTGATAGAGACACGGGATAAAAAGAAGGCCATGCCAAAGAATTTTCGTCGCACAGAAAGACGGACTTCACATCCCTTTCGTTCTCAGAACACGCTCAGCAGATACCAACCAGGTCAACGAAAAACCAACTGGAACACGAACAAACCGCAATTCAGAAGAAATTCATACAACAAATTCCCCAAGACTTCCTTCCCGAAGTTCGACCGAGGAGACAGAGATACAAAGAACAAACAAGCATGACTACAGTGCTTTTCCAGTGGGGGCTCGACTACTCCATTTCACATCAACATGGAGGGAATCGCAGGCCGATGTTTGGGCACAGGAGATCGTGTCCCAAGGCTATGCAATAGAATTTCGAGCCATCCCACCAGACAGGTTCCTAGTCTCCCCCTTCAGCAAATCTTCTATCAAGAGATCTCTGATAAACAAAGCACTACAACACCTCTTGAGCATCCGTGCCATCGAGCCAGTACCACCCTTGGAGATTGGCCGGGGTGTCTATTCAATCCTATTTCTAGTCCCCAAGAAAAACGGCGAATGGAGGGCGATCCTAGATTTAAAGTTTCTCAACAAATTTATCAAACTTCGCCACTTCAGGATGGAGACACTCAGATCCATCACGGAGACCCTTCTACCGATGGACTATCTGACGTCCATAGACCTCAAGGAGGCATATCTACATGTTCCGATCCACCGGAATCATCAGAAATATCTTCGCTTTTGTGTAGGGGGTCGACACTTCCAGTACAGAGCGCTTCCCTTTGGGCTTTCCACGGCTCCGAGAGTATTTACCAAGCTCCTCATAAATCCGGTGGTTCATCTCCGAGAAAAAGGGATCCACGTCTTTCAATATTTAGACGACCTGCTGGTGAGAGGGAAAACTCTGGAAGAGGCCATCCACAACACCAACCGAACAATCGTATGTCTACAGAAACATGGTTTTGTCATCAACTTTCCGAAGAGTTGTCTGCACCCAACCCGTCACATAGAACACCTGGGGGCCATAATCGACACGAGTCTCAATGCTCTGATTCTACCTCGGGAAAAAGCCGTCAAGATAAGGGACATGGCAGTTTCAGTGACACGAAGCTCCACGGTCAATCTGATGTTATTGGCCAAGCTATTGGGCCTGATGGTATCCTGCATAGACTTAGCGCAATGGGCCCGTCTACATTCCAGAATACTTCAAAGATTCCTAAGACCTTACCAACTGTTAGTTATGCAACGCAGGGACATGAGTCTTCGGATACCGATGCAGGTCAAGTCCAGCCTGTTATGGTGGACGAACATGCGGAATCTCAGACAGGGCAAGATGTACTACAAACGATTCCACAAGGAGATTTTCACGGATGCAAGCCTATCGGGATGGGGAGCCATCCTGGATACGGAACCGGTCCAGGGCAGGTGGTCCAGGGACGAACAACAGCTTCCTATCAACCTCTTAGAGCTGAGAGCCATTCGTCATGCCTTATGCCACTTCCACCAGGCCCTTCAGGGACAACACGTTCTTATCAGGACGGACAATGTCTCGGCCAAAGCCTACTTAAACAATCAGGGCGGTTCGAGATCTTCCAATCTTCACCAGGAAGCGTTAAAAATTTTGCTTTGGGCAGAGAGGAACGTGTCATCCCTGCGGGCCGAACACATTCAAGGGACGGTCAACGTCCAGGCGGACTGGCTCAGTCGACAGACAATCAGAGAGGGAGAATGGGCTCTTCACAAGAGACTGTTCTACCTCATAACGAGCTACTTCGGCAATCCAGTGGTGGATCTTTTCGCGTCAGCAGAGAATCACCAACTACCCCGCTTCTTCTCGAGGTACCAACACCACAGAGCAGAGGCGACGGATGCCCTTACCACTCCTTGGCCCAAGGGCCTTCTCTACGCGTTTCCTCCTACCCCTCTAATCCCAAAGATCATCCGCAAGATTCGAGAGGAGGGAGCGCAAATAATCCTGGTGGCACCGCGTTGGCCTCGTCGACCTTGGTACTCGGCACTGACAGAGTTGGCCATTCGCCCGCCATTGATCCTCCCGAAGGAACCCGATATGTTGATGCAGGGGCCAATTCAACATCCACATCCGGAATGGCTATCTTTAACCGCTTGGAGGTTGAACGGCAACAACTCACCGAGTTAGGTTACTCTCCTCAGGTGTTAGACACCATACTTACCTCAAGGAAACAATCCACCATCCGGATATACAACACAACCTGGAAGGCCTTTGTCAGGTGGTGTAAGCGTAAAAAGGTTGCACCCTTATCACCTTCAGTAGCCTCAGTACTGGCCTTTTTACAAGACGGACTACAATCAGGATTAACGGTCTCTACGCTTCGGAGGCAAACGGCAGCCCTATCTACTGTGATTCCATTGATAGGTGGCTACAAGCTGACTAAACATCCGCACGTTTTATTGTTTCTCCAAGGTGCGTCCGTCAAATCGCCACCGCAAATCCATCGCTTTCCCACATGGAAGCTACATATGGTCCTCACAGCACTCACCAAGCCTCCCTTCGAACCTCTTAGAGAAGTAGACCTGCGATGGCTGAGGATGAAAGTAATATTCCTAGTAGCCATTACATCGGCTCGAATGGTTTCCGAAATCAACGCATTCTCTGTTAAATCTACATTGTGCGTGTTTCATAAGGACAAGGTTGTTCTTCGGATGGATCCGACCTTTCAACCCAAGGTGTCATCACTCTTTCACCGATCCCAGGAAGTATATCTTCCGACCTTCTGTCCTGACCCGACTCACATAAAAGAAAGGACGTGGCACACCTTAGATGTTAAACGAGCTCTGAAGATCTACATTGCTAGAACTGAAGCGATCAGGAAAACAGAGTTCATGTTTATTAATATAGCTCAACCGAGAAAAGGAGAACGGATGTCCAAATCATCCATCAGCAAGGTCCTCAAATCATGCATTGCAGAGGCGTATAAGGCTAGAGGGCTGGAAATTCCTAAGGGTGTCACGGCACACTCTCTACGCAGTGCGTCAACTAATGCTGCTTTGGACAATCGTGCAACGGTGGACGAAATATGTCGGGCAGCAACATGGACCTCCATCTCCACCTTTGTTCGTCATTACAAGCTGAACGTCTTCGCATCAGGAGATGCGGCATTCGGAAGGAGCACGTTTTGAGGAACGCAGATGAAGATGACGACCCACTGCTTTGGGAGGTCCCAACGGAGATGTCCTCCGCCTCAGAGGGAGAACGACCCTTGGATACTTACCGTGAGGGGTCCTTCTCCTCTGAGGAAAGGAGGACATCTCGGCCCTCCCGTGCTCCATCTTCATCTCCTTCTTTTGTTCCAATCTTTTCCTCTTGTTGCTGGGGCTACCTTGCTCTTCTCATTTCATATACTGAAGTTATATCGCACTATCCTCTCTGTTTCTTCAGTTAGAGGTTGCATGTTACATAAATTTTATTGACAGTTGTTTATAGGAAAGTTATCTAGTTAATGTTTATTACTGCTGGCGGAGTCCCCGAACTGAGGGGCTGGGCTATTCCCTAGGCGCCAAGAGGAAGGGGAAAAAAGTGTTTCCTGCCTCCCTAAAGGAATGATGGGAATAACCCAACGGAGATGTCCTCCTTTCCTCAGAGGAGAAGGACCCCTCACGGTAAGTATCCAAGGGTCGTTTCCACCATGTCACTCTGGTTCTCTCCAACCTGGAACAACATTTTCATTCTTTTAGCTTATATAAGGAATTTTTTTAGAAAGCACAGAAAACAGAAGAGTTCATTCTGCTACCATCTCAATTCATCTGCAGTCCAACACTAAATTGTCCCCAACAGATAACAATGCCTCAGTTATGTTATCATTCAGCATGCATCTCTCAGATGCATTGCTACCTACCTCCTCCCAATTTTATTCAGCTCTTTGATAATCTTGCACATGCCTGGAATTGTATGCTATGCACTGGAATTCCCACCTCCCTTTTCCATAGCTTCATGACCTCTTTAAGCTCCCATCCCTTCCAGTACAGGACTTTGTCGCACATCTACAAGTAACACTATACCAGATCTGGGAGTCCGCGTCGTATTCTTGAGGTAGAGGCCACTCTTGTATAAATGCAACACTTTTTCTAAGTGGGCAACAGTTGTGTCTATTCCCCAATGAAGCTCTCCTGAAGAAGAAAGAGAACAACAGATTTGGTGAAGCAAAAAGTAGTTGGCAAAAAAGAAAGATGTCATCATTGTGTGGTCTAATGGGAAAGTAAAGATGGAGGTCCAGCTGGGAGTGTGGCCAAGAAGTCAAACAAATGGCATATTTATTATTAAATTACACATGTACCCTTCCTCTTCTCCAAAGAGCTTAGAGAGGCATTCTTGGGGTGATCCCATTTTATCCTGGGAGCAACCTTATGCTTTATTTATAGGTACTAGCCCAAGGTAAGCCTCACAGATGACTTGAGATTTGGACACAGATCTCTGAGCCAAACGCTACACTCTGTCTGCTACACCACACTGGCTCCTATAGAGCCTCTGCAAAATACCAAAGTACCCTAGGATAACTTGGTCATTTGAAACAGACTGCCAACACTTCAAGTATGGATAAATGGTAAAATGGTCATCTCTACCCGCCCAGTGTCTCTTAATCATGTGAGTCCTTCAGCAAGTGGCTCTCAGAGCATGCCCACACAACCATTTATTTAGTCTGTAATGCTAAAGTATGCCAGGGTTTTAATATCTGTACAAAGAAAAGATTCTTCAGAATACCTTTCTCTGCTTGGAATACAGAAATACATTTAAATGGAAGAAGAAGGAGGAGGAGGAGGAGGAGGAGGAGGAGAGGAGGAGCAGGAGCAGGAGGAGTTGGTTTTTATATTCCACTTTCATCTGTCTGAAGGATTCTCAAAGCAGCTTACCACTGCCTTCCCTTCCTCTCCTCACAACAGACACCCTGTGAGGTAGGTGGAGCTGAGAGAGTCTGAAAGAACCATGACTGACCCAAGGTCACCCAGCTGGCTTCATGTGGAGGAGTGGGGAATCAAACCCAGTTCTACAGATTACAGTTTGCCTCTCTTAACCACTGCACCAAATTGGATAAAGTTTCCTATCTCACTTCTTTCTTGCATGAAATTAAAATTAAAATAGCAAGGACAGTAAATAAAGCAATACAAAATCAGGCTAGAAAATGCAAATATAACAAAATAAAATACTCTTTCATGATGAGAGTTGAAGGCCTTTGATATTAACTGGTTTTAAATTGCACTGAGGTTTCTTTGGAATTTTCGAGGTCTTTCAGAACAGTATGACTGTCAAATAAAAGCCATTATGAAAGGGAGAGGCAATGAAAGAGGGCTTGCAAGGTCATTGGTTTACCTGTGGCATTGACTATCACATCCAGTAATGGTCTCAGGGACACAGGGGCACTATGCGGCAGAAGATACGTAAAGAAAAACCTACAAAGAAGAGAAACTTGTTAGGTTTATGAGAGTTGAGAAACCGCAGAACAGCATAACGAATAATAAAATTCCCGTAATTTACAAGCCACTGAGCTATCCAGGAAATAGAATCATATTCTATAATTAAATGCATAGCTGCAGGTATGTCCACACAGCTGCTGGGTGCTGCTTACACAGACCTGCTTTGCTCAAGGCCACCTTGTAACTACCTGTAAATGTTTTACGAATGTAAAAATTTGCTATAAAACCCCACAGATTTTGCCTATTTGCAAAGCTGTCCGTCTCTGCGTGAACAAGTTATTTTTGTTGTTTTTGTAAAAGCTGTAAATTCAAAACTTCTCTCACATTTCCAGCCTGAGGATTAAATAATCAGGTCTTTACCTGTGTCCAGTCACTAACACTTTTAGCGGCTTGGTACATATGGTGAGGGCCAAGTGGAGCAATGTTCTACAGTTAAAGAAAAGTTACACCAATTTTATATCAAGGCATGATGAATGCTGCAATCTCTGGGTTAGATCTAATAATTCCTTTCCATATGCAAGTGTGGGATAGTGGTCAAACTGGTTGGACTAGGCTCTCTGAGACCTGTCTTGAAATTGCCAACTATCTTGCTCTAAATCCAGAGGCCCGTTACTCCTTCTTAGCTTAACCTACCTTACAGGATTATTGGGAGGATAAAATTAGGAAGGTAGAAGCACGTACTGCTGACCTCAGCTCTTTGAAGAAGGGTGGTTGAAGACAGATAGATTAAAACTTCCTTTAACAGGGAGCCTTACCACCAGAGAAAGGCTTAGAGAAAGACATCAGATCCAACCTTATGCACGTTTACGTGATTTACTATATTCTGTTTCTACTAGGCATGGAAGGGACAGCCACACAGAACTGTGAAGGCCACCGTCTGGCCTCTGGGAGTCTTACTGGCAACTCCTCCAGCTTCTAGGTTTCATTAGGTATAACTTTCAAGCTTATCTTCACAGCCATAAGGCTAGAAACAAGACTGTATTTATTTTTAAAAACCCAGAAGCATGGGTTTTTATTAATCTGAATTCTATGACCAGTATGTTTCCGTAATTTTTCTGTGCTTCCATATAACTGATGCATACACACATCAGTTCAGATTATCCCCATGTCTGATCTGATCTTGCTGAAATGTGTCATTATTACATATCACTATTTTGATCCTTATTCAAGAACATCAGAACTCCATAGCATGAAATGTATGTATCTCATTTCAGGTTCCACAAGTGCTAAGTGTTTCCTTGTCGCTGAAATGTTTACCGGGGTCAAAGAATGTAGGTGATAACACCCTCATACACAGTCATCTGAATGGTCCAGTTTTCTGACTACACAGTGAGAGGTTTAGGTTGGAGATATATAACTGTTTTAAGAGACCTGAAAATGTGAAAGAGATTAGTTTCCCATAGTATGCACAGTTTCTTTGGCCATACTATGGTCAAGCAAATTTTGCATGGACTGAAATGATATAAGAACTGCAAACATGGTTTGGTAGAAAATACTAGCCCTCTGCAGATGTTCTGTTCCATTCATGAACTGGGAACTTGACAGCTGCATATTTTGGAAGCATGACCTGTGCAGTAACCATCTCCTACAAAAAGCCAGTGATGCCCATCCCAATGATGGACAGGATCACACTCCCCGATGTGCTTGGTTGGCAGGCTCCCAGTTTGTGTGACTAGAACAGAATGTCCACAGATGGCTAAAGTGGGGTGATTATACTGTCATCCAGACAACCTTCAACTGTACAAAAATATCAGTCTGCAGCTTTGGAATTAGTGGAACATAGAGCTCAACCAAGGGTCCTTGGACTGGTGAACATTATTCAGAGCCTTCGGTCACTAATAAGAAAAACTTAAAAAGGAAACAGAACCTAGAATCTCAAAAAGTGTCAACACTTTTCATATGAAGGGCATGGATTAATTCCAAAATACTTGGTATGCTTTATTACGGGATATGTAATTCCATTTCCTCTGAATCCTCCAGCCAGTTCCCATAACATTATAGTCTACCAACTCTCAGAGTTTATTTTAACAAGATGGACAGTTCAGGCTCAGTATAAACTGGAAGATGAGACACAAATATTAGGTTATGAGCAGACTGGTAACATAGATAGGAAATTTCATGCGATGCTGCTCTGTTCTACATCTATCCTGAAAAGTAATGTAAAGTATTTTTGACATACATAGACCACACAGTCATATAAAAAGAAGCCATATTTAAAAAGTAGTTAAATCACATCCTAGGGTGAAAATAAAATGTATGCTATGTCAATATTAAATTAAAAATGAAGTTGCACAAAAGTGTCACTACAAGGTTCTTTGCTGGCACTAGGGTGGTGCTGTGAACAGAGCATTGTACTTGGAAGAGTGGTGAAGGGCCTGAGTGGCTTTGGATAAGCAATGGAATAGCTATGAAAGCACCAGGAAGTGAACACACAGTTTCAGTGTCAAAATCATGACACAGGCCCTGAAGCAAAGGTGGTCTTTGCATGCTCCACAAGGCTTCCAAGGCCTTCCTCTTCAATGCAGACCTTCTGCCCAAAGCAAACAAGTTCCAAAACTCTGCTAGTGGCACAAAGGAAGAGCAGGGAACTGCAGCTGGCCGGGTGGAATCATCATTATGTCTAATTGTTTTTACTTGAGAAAAGTGAGTAGTTAGGCGAGAGTGTTGGAAGTTATCAGCATTTAAAATCAGTTGACCCTTCCTCCGTTCACAATGAAGAACAACTTCTTCTGGAACAATTATATGATTTTCCATCAGGTGACACTCATGAACACATGAAGCTGCCTTCTACCGAATCAGACCATTGGTCCATCAAGGTCAGTGTGGTTTAGTCAGACTTGCAGTGGTTGTCTGGTTCTTAGGTTGAGGTCTTTCATATCACCTACTAACTCATCCTTTTAACAGTAAATGATACATATTGAGCCTGGGAACTTAATGCCATGCAGATACTCTGCCACTAAGCCACAGCCCTTCCCTACGCAACATCTGTTAAATGCATGAGGGAAGAAGCAAGATCAAGGGCTGCTGGTACCCAGGCCCTTTCAGAGGTCCAGAGAGGCCTGGCTTACTTCTACATTTTGAGGCCCAAACCAGAATAAAAATTTGAAAGTGACAGCACTTGATGTGCAAAGAGTTGCAAAACTTCTAGAATACCAAAAGATTGACAAGTGCCCAAATATGAAGCCCCCTTTGAGGTAGAGACTCAAGCCAAATGGCCCTCCTGGTCCACCCCTGGATAGCCTTGGGCCTGTTAGTATCCCACCTGGGCAGTGGTAGCAACTCACTGAATATTTAACTGACTTCTTGGTGGATATGTTTACAACATTAACTGCAAAGCTAGACTCACTCTACAGTAGAGTTGCCAGCCTCCGAGTGGCACCTGGAGATCTTCCACTGTTACAGTTGATTTCCAGATGATCGAGATCAACTCCCCTGGTGAAAATGGCAGCTTTGCAGGGTCGACACTATGACATTATAACCTGCTGAGGTCCCGCCTCTTTCCAAACCCCATCCTCCTAATGCTCCACCCCCATAATATCCAGGTATTTCCCAACACAGAGCTGGCAACCCTACTCCACAGTTGAAGAATCTCCTGTGAGTGCTCTTAGAATGGCTGTCTTCACCCTTTAAGATATAGCCTCTGATTCAGTACATTGCTACAGTTATTGTGAACAGTGGGTTAGATCCAAAAAGCTGTTAGTGGTAGGTAGAGAAACTTAGCAGTGTTACATTAACAGACAGAAACTGCAAGCTGAGCTCCTTGTCTTTAGAGGTTACATGTTTCAGCTACTATGTGTAGGATGGGTTTAGAAGACAGCTCATGCCAACAAGTCTCAGCTATTTCATTTAAATTGGCATCTGCTGGTCACCCTGGAAGAGTTTTAAAGATTTGGCCAGCCATGCCAGACTTGGGAGAGGGGGCAGAAAACAACTGAAAGCAGTACAGGCTGTGCTTGTGCTTGCTATGGCTGTTTTCCTACTCGATGTTCTCTATCGTTGCTTGCTGATAGGGTTACCAAGTTCCTGCTGGAGGTAGATGATCCTTGCCCCTGGCTCCAGTTGCTTGGTGGCATTCTGGGGGCCAGCAGGAGGGGGAGGAATCAAAATTGCATTCAGGCAATGGTGTGTTCCAGGGTTTTCCCATAGAGTTTCTGGTGATTCCTAGAGAGGTGTGATGTCATTTCCAGGCTTTCCTCAAAATGACATCACACCATCATCTGACACTACCATCCCTTTTCCCCTCCCCATCTCCCACCCAACTGGCTGAGCTTGGTCAACTTAGCCCTGCAAGATCAGCTTTCTAACCAGGCAGGGCCCCCATGGCAGGAGTAACTCTTGGGATCTTGGTCGAGGCTTTGCCCCAGTTGAGTCCCAAGAAGCCTTGGGTGGGTGTAGTTGCATTTTCCTCTTGTGCTCAGAAATTGGACAGTTGCCTTTGTGCTCTGCTGGAAAAACTACATTGCATCCCTAGCATAATACTCATCCACTGGCAATAAATATATTCTTCTATCAGTAGTTATGCCAATGGAAGCAACCTCTGTTCACATACAGCTACTTCAATGGCTTACAGTTACCTGTATGCATTGTACAGATTCCTCTTCTCATTCATGCTCTGACATTTCCCTTCAACAGAGCAAGGCAAAGTAAAGTTTCTTGCTGGGAACTCCATGAAGCAGTCTCTGTTGCTAGTACAAGATGTCTCGTCAATGCTGGCATCATCCAGATCTGTCACTTTGAGCTCTCCATCCACTATCACAAACTGACGAGGTCGGAAATCCAACAGCGTCACAGAGCCAAGGGGCGAGTGGGCCAGGTAATGCAGAAGCCGAACTAAGCTGAAGCATATCTGAAAGAACAAAAGCCAAGCAGTCTTGTATTCCTTTGCAAATAGGGCAATCCTACTAGTATCTGTTTACCATTAGCACAGAGGAGGACAATCAGAAACAGACTCAACGGCTGTGAACCAGAAGAACCAAATGCACATGTATGAGGCTCTCTCCCTAATTTGCCCTGAATTTTTTGGGTGTAGTAGCTTGGTTCTCAGAGCTCTCTGGAGAGAAATAAAAACTGAAGCCAAAGATGCAGACTGTCAGGAACCCTCAGCCCCATCACATCAGAAGGAGACCGAAGAAGGCAAACCTGGGCCAGGAAAACCAGATATCGCAACCAGGGCAACAGGTCGAGCAAGAAGCACCAGGAGGAGACCCAGGCACCCGTGCCGCGACAGCTGCGAGGAATCAGCAATCAAGTTCCAGGACATGACCGCGCGGCAGCTAGAAGGAGCTGCAGAGGGCTGTGGCTTTAAGCGGGAGGGAACCGGGAGTATTCTGAATAATAAAGTTGAAACAGGTGTTCCACACCGGTGAGGAGGAGATTGGGCAGAAACCGTTAAGGGCGCAGGGGTGGCAACACACGTGCCCGGGGTTTCTACTCAATAAAAAGAGCAGAACTGCCATGTTCAGGGCTCTCTGCCTTTTTCGATTCTGAGGTGTGAACCTGTCGACAAATATTCCAACTACCCCGGCACAACCGCTTAAAGCCTCTCTGCGGCTCATGGCAGGACCGACATCATTACACAGACATAAAAGTAGGTGATGTGTTATGTGCCAGTGTGATCCTGAGACACCTTCAGCAAAATCCAGGTACCCACATGCTAAAAACTGATGTGGCTGAGCATTCTTTGGTTTCCCAGGCCAATTCTAGCAAGTTTACTCAGACAAAAAGGTCCAGTGAGTTAAAAACCAACAGAAGTATCACTCACATAAAAGTATACATATTTAAATACCATTTGAAAGGACAAGATTCTGTGCTAATCTAATCCCTGAACATTCTAGGATTTTTTACATTGAAGCCACTGGGCAAGATCAGCTGGACCTTTGGAGCTGCAGGTTTGCAGTCAAGCGATACCTCATTCACCAAGCAGCTGGGAGGTGCTGTTCCTCCTGGGGGCGGGGAAACCCCTGCCCCAGAGGCCTGTTTCCCGGCGCCACTGGATCGGGCCCTGGGGGGAACTCCTCCCTGACATGTGCGTCACCCGGAAGTGACGGGAGGACGCTGGGCACGCTGGGGGCGGGGCCACGGCCATACAAGGGAAGACTCTATGGTTTTCCCTTGTATGGTCGTGGCCCCGCCCCCAGCATGCCCGGCATCATGACGTCACTTCCCTGTGATGTGCATGCGGAGTGCGCGCGCACACGCGCCGGGAGCCAAGCTGGAGTCCCCCGCCAGAAGGGTAAGTGCCACTTGGCAACCCTAGCTGTCTCTGTTCTAAAGCCCTGTCTAGAGGCTATAGTCAAATGGATACATCTGAACAGGCTGAGGCTGAAATCCAGACAAGACAGATGTGATGCTGGTGGGGATACATTCTGGAGGAGAGATGTCCCCTGTAAAAAATGGGGCTCTTATAGGCTCACCAACCTTCCCATAATGATGGAATCTCCATCAGTGCCAGGTCTGCAGCTACAGTCCCACACCCCATTCTGCACATTAATTCACCCTTTATCATAGAATGTAAGAGTTGGAAGGTACCTTCCAGGTCATCTAGTCCATCCCCCTGCACTCTGCACTTGTTACCTGCACTCGGCTACTGCTTATTACAATTCTGACTTGGTAACTGTACTTACTCGAAATCGGTCCTCCCAGGAAGTCTGTAAAAGCTGTATCATCTCCAGTGGTGAGCCAAGTTCTGTGATGGTGGTGAGTGTGTCCGAGATGTCATTGCTGTCCTGGTAACAGTAGCCATAAAGCTGCAAAGGCACATGAGGAAAAGAAGGCACATTGATACATATGCTGCATGTCTGTGTTCACCCCCCTAGTAAATATCTGAGTCTCAAACAGTGATATCTGAAGCAGAGTGGCACCCTTCTGAGCTCACTGACTGCAATGGATTTAGAAGGTGGTAACTCTACTTAGAGTGGCACTGAAAGCCAATCTGCATTAACACAGTGATCACACAGTTCGACAATCTGTTTGCGACTGCACTAATTCATGTGTAGGATTGCCATCCCCACCCCACCACCCCCAGTGGGGCTTGGAGATCCAGACAACAGAGATCAGTTCCCTGGAGAAAATGGCTGCTTTCAAGGGTAGACTCTAGGTAGGGTTTCCAGCTCTGGGTTGAGAAATACCTGGATATTTGGGGGGTGGAGCCTGGGGAGAGTGGGTTCTGGGGAGGGGAGGGGCCTCAAGAGGGTATAATGCCATAGAGTCCATCCTCCAATGCAGCCATTTTCTCCAGGCAAACTGAACTCAGTCATCTGAAGGGTGACTGGAATAGCAGGAGATATCCCAGTGCCACCTGGAGGTTGGCAAGCCTAACCTAGGGTTGCCAACTCTGGGCTGGAAAATATCTGGAGATTTTTTTGGGGGGGTGAAGCTTAGGGAGGGTGGTGTTTGTGGACAGAAGAGAGCTCAGCAGGTATAATACCACAAAGTCCACCGGCCAGATCTGCTATTTTCTCCAGGGGAGCTGATCTCTGTAGCCTGGAGATCAGTTTTAATACCAAGAGATCTCAAGGCCCCATGTGGAGGTTGGCAACCCTAGTGGACTCTATGGCATTATACCCTGCAGAGGTCCCTCCCCTCCCCAGGCTTTACTCCCAAATCTCCAGGAAATTCTCAATCCAGAGTTGGCAAGCACATCGTGCTACAGGTATAGGGTGGGCATGGTGTATGCTTCACCACATTCATATCTGGCTGCATGTAGATAATTAGCTCCTCATGGAAGAAGGCTAGATTAGAAGCAAAGTGGTGAGATACACGGTAGTATCACTAAGGAATACTGCATAACCACCACAGATTTATAGACTGAGCTTGATCTAGAACCTGTTACTTATAGGGGAGTCCTTTGTACATGCCGACTGCACCAGAGCAGAGGCTATGTCCAGTACTGAAAGAGAGAAAGAGTCTGACAAATCACAAGATTGATAGGTGATAGATAATGATGACGATGATATGGATAGATTTTTTTAAATATTCTCACTTTTTGTCACTAGCTAGATGAATACTGGACTAGACACTGAAAAATAAGACATCACTCACGCATGGTCCTCTCACACTAGGTACTTTTTGGCTCCTTAAAGGACATAAGCCTTGTGTGACTGGAGCAGCTTAGCACCAGAGGAATGGCACACCCCAACAGGAAAAGGAACACAAAAGGAACAGATATAGTGCCAAACCACGACCCTTACAACAGGACCGAGAAGTCAGTTTTATTGTCTACATATGGAGGGGGCACAGAGGTTGAGAAACACTTGCCTGTTTAGGGCCACACAAGACCAAACTACAGATGACACTGGAGTATATGAGCAGAGTGGCGGTGGAATGCACCATCAAGTCACAGCCAACCTATGGCAACCCCATAGGGTTTTCAAGGCAAGAGACATTCGGCAGTGGTAGCTGCACACCAACCCTGGATTTCCTTGGTGGTCTCCCATTCAAGTACTGGCCAGGTCTGACCCTGCTTAGCTTCTTGAGATCTGATGAAACTGGGCAAAGAGCAGCTTCAGGAGTTTTTAAGGCCAGGAAAAGAGTATCAAAAAGGAGAGGCTCAGCCTTCCTCTTGTACCACAGTCCCAAAATGGAATCAATTCCTGATATTTGACTCAAAAACCACAGAAGGTTCCACTCAAAAAGCTCCTAGCATCACATCTGGTCTGGCCCTTAGACAGCTCGTGGAGGAGGCATAATTTGAACCGGGGTCTTCTTTTGGCACAGCCCCATTTTTGAATCATCATGCTCCACTGGCTTTCAGTCACATGGCAGAGTTCCATGGCAGATATGTCGCTTCCCGGCAGACAGATTGATGTGGACAGTGTGAAAACTACTACCAGATATGTCATTGTCTGGAGGACTGAAGGTTAAACAAAATGCCAAAAATGCATGTGGTTATATGAAATAATAACCCCTTTCCTGAAATAAGCACCTTTGAACATGAGTTCTTTTATATATATATTAACATCAGACAAAACCAAAAGGGAGCATTAGAAAAAGAAAATTTGAAAACTAACGATAGAAACTTTGGCATGAAATATATACTTGCTACAGTTCTTTTGACTGCAATTTCTGGCATAGTCAATTTAGACATATGAAGGGGATAGTAAGAGAATCAACAGTAGAGAAGAAAGGTTACAGCGGTGGTAGTTTTGAGACCATTCTGCTGGGAGAGAAGAAAAACTCTAGCTATGAGAATTAGATAAAAGTTGTTTGGAATTCAGGTACATGACAAAGATAAAGGTACATGACTAAGATACATGACAAAGGCTCACTTCAGAAAAAGACACGAGGAGTGCTGTGGGAGTTGGCCATTATTTTCATTAATTCCAGTGGTAAAATGAGGGGGACAGAATTATGCTCCCCTTCCATTGCACAGAGAATTATCAGCCACAGGGAGCTGTCATGGTGTGGTGGTGGAGCACCTGCTGCACATGCAGAAGGTCCCATCTTCACTCCCTGGCTTCTTCAGCTAAACTAATCAGGTAGGAGGTTCTGGGAAAGATCTCCACTAAGAACCTTAAAAACTGCTGCTTGATGGTCCAATGTAGTGTAAGATCGTGTAAGGTAGCTAAATGTATTCACATAGGACCTTCGTGGTATATTTTTCCCAACCCAGGTCCCCAGGGTAGATTGATGGGTGTAGTCTGGAAGTTTCACACTTCCCAGAAGCATGTGGAGCCCATCAGTACATGTCAACAGTGCAATTCTAAGCAGAGTTACATAGAGGGACAATTGATTTCAATGGACTTAAAAGGGTGTAACTCTGCTCAAGATGGCATTGCAAGTTTCCCCAGTAGGGTTGCCAACCCCCAACCCCAGTGGAGGCAGGGGTCCCCTGCCACCAGGCCCCACTGGCCTGCTGCCAATCACCTGGCCAGAGTGGAGGACTTACTTGGGAAAGGAGTGAGGCCCAGTTGATGTTGCAGCAACATGTCTACGTCACTTCCAACATGACCTGAAAGTGACATCATTGCATCGAGGCAATGCTCTGGTATTTGGGCAAAAACTCTGTGGTGGAAACTAAATTTACCATAGAGCTTTTGCCCAAATACCCGTGTCACCCTGAAATCCCTACGTGATGATGTCACTTCCAGGTCACATCGAAAGTGATGTGGACACATCGCTGCTGCATTGTCTGGACCTCCCTTCCATTCCTGATAAGTCCCCCTCCCACCTTCCCACAGGGACCCGGCAACCCTATTCTCCAGTGGTGTGACCAGCAGCTCCCCAGAGTCATTTCAGATTGGGGAAATGGTTTGGTGGGAAGACAAGCCTCCTTTCTTTGCATCTTGATCTGAATCAGGTACATGCACCTCTGGGAAGTGAGGAATTCCCAGACCACATCTATTGACTAACCCAGGGAAACTGACTAACTCTGGGAAAATGTATCATGTAGATAGGCCCTACAGTCCCAGTTTGGGCTGATAATTCTGAGCAGGGAGCATAACATATTCTTCATTATCCAGTGAGGGGGGGGATTCCACGTTAGTTTTACATCAAAATAATCTTGAAGAGTTCACTCTGACTTTGGAATTGCATGAGAAATGCAGTGTTGCCTCTGGACATGCATATCCACAAAATTCAGCATCCCTAAAGCCTTGGAGACTACATAATTATAGCTACAGAAGTAACCTTATCAGATGCACCAAAAAGCCACGTTCAGATTGGACACACAGACCAAAATGTTTGCTGCATGAAAACACCTTATGAAGGTGTTCTTGGTGCATAAGGATATGCAAAGCCCTCTCCCCTGCTTACTGTGGTTTCTAGCATTGGATTTGCAGAAATGCACATGCCAAGATAATAAGGACTCAGAAAAGTGTTACTTTTCATTATGAAGACGGGGAGGAGAAGAACAAAATGTTCCAGAGACAAAGAGTAAGCCCAGTTTCTGCATCAAATGATCAGGCACCGAGATGGATGTTTTGCTTGCCTACAGACTGGGACTGTGTGGGGTCTTCTGCTCTAGTAAAGGACTCTGCTGCACTAGGGTTTCCAACTCCAGGTTGGGAAATTCCTGGAGATTTCAGCATAGTTTCCTTGCAGTTTGGGGAAGGCAGGGTTCAGGGAGGAGAGGGGCCTCAAGAAGGCAGAACAGAACACCATACAGCCCGCCCACCAGATCTGTCATTTTCTCCAGGGAAACTGACCTCTGCGGTCTAGAGATCAGTTATAATTCTGGGAAATCTCCACTGCCCACTTGGAGGTTGGCAACCCTACTCTGCACCCTGAAAATTCATTGCGCTATTACTAACAATACCTTAGGGAGGATGCTTCTTGGCCTGTCTACATTATGAATACATGTACATTTTACACAAGCTTAACTGGGCTTCTCCTAAAGAACGGCTGGTGTTGCAGCACTGTCAGGAGAATTCTCTTGGAGCTCCTTGACATTCCTCAGAGACTTATAGCTCCCACAGTTTCCTGGAGGGAGAAAGGATTACTATTATACCAGTTTGAAGCTCTCTATGTCTCAAGCAGTTTGCTGCCATAAACGATCATCCACTGCAAATCCCGACATATTTGAAATAGTAGCCATGGGCCCAGGGCAGACCTTTGTCGAGGGGATTCCACAGAAAGGCTGGTAAGGTTGGAAGTAATCTACTCCCTATTAAAGCAGCAGAAGCAGCTCTTTTGGGGAATGATTCCCATGACACAGAGAAAAAGAGGAGCCAGAAGAGATCTTGTTTGACAAACAGGATTTTACTTTATTTTATTAGGAACTGCAGCATTGAAGGAGACTAAGGAGGTG